TATGTATGTATAGGTATGTGTGTAGGTGTATGTGTAGGTGTGTGTGTGTGTCTGTGTGCTCACTTATGTACAAAAGTGGAGATCAGAGGTTGATTTCAGGGGCCTTTACCATTGTTCACCTTTTTTTGGAATTCCTGTACATTTTCTTTATTTACAAAAGTACCAACCTATGATAAACTGGAAATAACACGTGCATGCTGAACCCTTATCACATATATAAATAGCTCTTCTCTAGAGAAAGCCTAGTTTAAGTAACACGTGATTCCACATACCTACAGCATGATGTTTCAACACAAGTACACAGTGTATAATGACCAGATCAGGTAAGTGCTATGCCGTTCACTTCAGGCATTTATCATTTCTTTAGGTTAGAACATTCAAAATCCTCTGTATTAGCTTTGCTGAAATATTCAATTACTGTCAACCACAGTTACTACCCTACAGAACTGTCTAGCGTGAGAAGTTATTCCTCCCTCCCCCTAGCTAACTGACCTTCACACCTTTCCCCACCTTCCAGGCTCTAGTGGTCAATTAGCAATAGTCTACTCTTGACTCCTTTGAGATTAAAATTTTAGCTTCTGTACATGAATAAGAACGTGTCCTATTTTTCTGTGTCTAACTTGTTCCACCTAATATAGTGCCACCCTTCTATAAATGACAAGATTTCATCTTTTATGGTAGAAAAATATTCCACTGTGTAAATATGACACGTTTTTGTTATCCATTCATATACCAAGTTACACCTCAGCTGGTTCAGTTCCCATGCTCCTGTAAATAACCCCTCACCTGTGTTCTTGTAAGCAACCCTAATTAAACTCGTTGGGGAGAAAGATGGAAAGAGAACAGGAATCGAAAGCAGAGGGAAGGGGAGAAAAAGGGTAATGGAGAGTGAATATGATCAAAATGCATTATACATATATGTACATGTATGAAAATATCATAATGAAACCCATTATCATGTATAGTCAATATATGTTAACACAAAACATAAAAAGAATAATATTGGTTATAAAATAACACTGGTCTTGGGCTGAGGAAGATAGCTTACCTGGTAAAGTGCTTACTGTTGTAAGTGTGAGGACCTGAGATCAGACCCTAGTACCACATTAAAAAAAGCCAGGCATGGAAGTGCATAGCTGTAATCTCAGTGCCAGGGAGGCAGAAACAGGAGGTTCCTTGGATCCTGTTGACCAGCCAGTCAAGCTGAATTGGTGAGTTCTGGGTTTAGTGAGAGATCTTGTCTCTAAAAAAAGGACAGTGCTTGAGAAAGGCACACCCAATATTGAACACACACACACACACACACACACACACACACGCACACACGCACACACTCGATAGTACTGGCCAAGTGTAACTAAAAGAGTCAAAGTGACAAAGAATTCCTATGAAAACAGCCGTGAGAATTCATGAAAGCAGCATCAGCAGACCCAAGTGAGTAGCTGCAAACCCGTCTAGACCAGTGGGATGGCCAATTACCCACAGACATGCTTTGCTGCTGCTGCTTCTTAGCAACAAAATCCTGACTATAGTAGTAGTGCATCCAGCTGAAAGGACAGTGCCTTCTTCCTCTTGCAGGTTGGTATGTATGTGTGACTCATTCTGGTCACTGTATGTTATTGAAAGTTATTGGATCTTACTTCTGAAAAAATTCCTTAGGAAAAAGAAAGATGAAGAGCTAGGTGTGAATTCTTTACCTTTCTACCCAGTGCCCCTTCCTGCTATGCTGAGTTTAGGCTTCAAAGCTGGATCTCTTGGAAGCGTCTTAGGATAGGAAGCAATCTTGGGCAGGGAGTCAGTAGCTAAATAATGCAACGCAGGCTTCCAGGACTCTTCTGCCTGCCTTAGAATGTTGCCCCCACCCACAGTGCTTCTACGAAAGCAAGGGAAATCCTTCCATGTTTAGATCCCTGCTTATATACAACAGCAAACCTTCAAACAGTGATGCTGCCACTTCCGACAAGATTTAACGAACTCTTTCTAGAACTTTCTTCACAATGCCCTCAAGCCCAGTGACTACAGCGTACTGTGTGTCTGGAAATGCTGAAATATGGGAGAGAGGGAATCTGTCCTCTAATTAATGGAATGATACTTGCAGTTTTCAGCTTATCCATTGCTTTCTTTTCCTTGAAATTTTGCTAGTAGAGTCATGGATTCTGGAACCATCGAGAAGTTAACAGTCTTCAACTAGGAAGCCGAATCATTGTGAGAAAACGCTTTGTGTATCCCTGACACAGAAAGGAGGCTAATAGAAAAGCAACCAAACACTGGTGTTGCAACTCAACTCATCGTGTGAAAGACAAAGCATCCATAAGAATGAGCTGGACTAATAGACAAGGGAATCCATTTAAGAGCCTCTTGTACTGCAACAGGCCTTAAGTAAACACAGAAAGAGTCTGGAAATCACGGTAGCCTCCTGATAAAGACCCTAGAGGAAAATGATGCCAAGCAGAGCCAGGAGGACAGCCAGATGTTTTTGGCTGCACTCCAGGCCAGCGGTCAGGAGCTAGCACTGTGGCTGTACCAGCACTAATGGTCTCATGAACCCATGCTGCTGTTTCAGTTCTCCACTAGTACATTTTAAAATCTCTGCAAACACCTGGTTAAAGAAGCCTTCTGAATGTAGCAAATCAGAAATGCCCAATTCTAGGACCTTACTGGGCATGGAAATCATCGTGACCATAGCTTGTGAAGACTTCTAACAATGTGGTTGTGTTGGGTATGCTCCACTGCTGTTACAGAAATAACCCATGCAGGAAAGTCAGAACCAATAAGACCAAAGCCTAGCACAGCTATACATCTAACCTGTTTGGGTAGGAGAAAGAAAATATTTTCTCTTTTTTTCTACAATTATTTCTCCATATATTTTATTGAGTTTTTATGTATTCCATACATGTTAATCATACTTAGATTTTCTCCCTTATCCGCACCCCCATAACCCCCCACACAAGATTTCATGTATTCTCTCATTTATGCCCTCATCTATCAAGTCAAGTTTGTATCCCCAGATGTCCCGTGGTGTGAGTTCATCCACTGGATGAACTGTTCAGCCTATCTGGTGTCACTCCCTTCAAGAAGACCAACTCTTCCTCACCCAGCAGTGATGAGCTGCCAGTAGTTTCCTCTACTACGGTTGGGGATTCTTGTCCATTTCCCTAGTTCTATGTTGGGCTTTTGTCTGGTTTGAGTTTGCATGGGTCTTGTCATGCTGTCATCATTGCTGTAAGTTCATTTGAGCAAGTTCCCAGAAGCCTGAAAAACGTTGTTTCTTTATGGTCTAATGCATCTCTCAACTTCCTCCAGCAAAACTTCCTCCAGCAACAGAGTGCAATTAACACAGAAAACCACAACTGGCCAAAGTGTAGAGAATAAGAGACTGCGGAGTGCCTGTACCTAGATAATACTCCCATATTAAACCTCATCTACCCAGTGCTCAGGGACCATTGCAGAAGAGGGGGGGTGGAAAGATTGTAAGAGCCAGAGATGGTAGATGATCACAAGGAAAATAATATTTTCATTCAAAGAATTTAGAATATTAGAACAGGGAGGTAACTCTGGAGGCTTTTGATGAATTATCATGACATTAGATATCTTCTGTGGTATAAAACGAAATAGTAGATAGTTCATATAGAGCACTTAAAATTGAACTTATTTGCACTTCACTCTCAAGTAGACAGGCAGTCATGCCCTTTGCCACATGATCTTGCAGTATTAGCCACTACGCTGCCAAGCCACATCGTGAAACCATGGCTAGATCAGACAGTCATCCATCAGCAGACCCACACCAGAAGAATGACCTGCTCTGTAAGCCTCAGGCCGCAAAGGCAGTTTGCAACATGGTACCAAGCAGCAGGTACAGTACCCTATTCATGCCAGCTATCTGTATACATTCTTTAAAGATGAATAATGAGAATGTCAACGTATGTAACCCATTATATGGTACACTGAATTTGCTTTGATTTGCTCTGGTGGCATCTTTAAAGTCTAAAGGTTACGGAATATTCATCTCGTAGAATGAGATCCTCTGAAGATATGTTGACTGACAGGATTATGCTTACTTGAAAGAGTCATCCAAGAACATTTCAATGTGATCATGGCTTTCCATCTGCCTGCAACGAGCAACGATTGTCTTTTTCTTTTTGAGATATCTTTACCCTGTGCCCTCTGTTCTCCATGGTAAAGGAAAATAACCAAAAGCCAAACACAGAGAGAGAGTACCAGAAAGTCTCCATGCACAATGAGGATCACTAAATTATCTTTTTAATATGCCGTAAACAGTTTCTTTTAAATGACAAACAACTTACACTTTTTAAAGACAAAGATTATTACGGTTGAATATAAAAAGATATAATGATAAAAATAGATTATGTTTATTGAAACAAATAATAAATCTTTGTAGAATTTATTTGCTCTGTATCTTTGAAATAATACACCAGTTTCCTGTTTATCTCTCTCCCACTTACTAAGTACATGTAGCCACTCAAAACAGAGTCACAGTAAGAGCATAATGAATACACAATACACAATACGCAGTTTCAAAGTTGTTTACTATTTGGTCAATGACATCTTTTTTGAAGTGTCAATTATAGAGTGAAATATACATTAGCATATATGTAAAATGTCAATTTTGTATTACAACTATATGAAAATATGTTATGGTTTGTAGGAAAATGTAGTTACTGAGATAAGTATTGGTCTCTATCAATAATTTTCTTCACTGTCAAATCATCTTTCCTTAAGTTACTTGGGAGTGTGAATTGAGCCTGGGATGTTCAAATTTAGACTAGTTTTCTACTGCCTATTAAAGAGTAAACAGGCTCTGTTTTTCATGAAAGGTAGAAAAATAACCACAGTATGCTATATTTTCCCCACGACACGGAAAAAGCATACTGAACAAAAAAAAAAAGAAAAGAAAAGGAAAGAAAGGTTTTTCTGACTGTTAATCACCCATAAGGAACGCGTGTTTCATAGTTAATCAGCCTTTGACATAGCACAACCCAGCTATTGTTTTGCATTTATTGAAGTATTCTCTTCTAAATAATTATGTTCATCTTTAAAAAGTAAATTTCTCAAAATTACATTCAATTTCTATCTCCAACCCAACATATTCTTCTCTGGCACAAAGCAAACACATAGTTCAGTGAAACTGGGCTGTGACCAGTCTTGCATACTGTTCTGCCATTTCTAAGGGATACAGCCACAACATAAGTCATTACAAAACAATTCTGGCCTTGTTTACAGAGTAGAGTCTGGTAGAGTTTACTCTTAAGGATACCCCCTTAAGTCCAAGCTTCATAGGGTTAGCAAGAATGTCCTAAATTCATATGACTTTGGAATAGTTTTTAAAACAAGCCTACAAGTTGCTAATTGAAATATAAAACTGCGCTAACACTGTGAGAAATCCTTCTTTCTGGGGCTCATTAAGGCTCTGGAATCATTTATATCTGTGCTATAGACGTTTGAGTTTCTTCCGCATTTTGATGTACCTACCCTTGAAAGCAACAGCACATTAACTGAAAGAAAATCACTACAAAAGCACTTGACACTTTGATCCTGCCAAGCTGGAAAGGCTTGCATGGCCTGGCTTGCATTTTTCTCTGGGTCTATGTGTCTGCTTATGAATGCATGAGTCTTGTTTCATGATGGTTTTCTAATATGCATAAAACTTTGAAAAATAGGTATTTTTCATTTCAGACTGAAACTGAAAACCTTTTGATGAATTTTTAACAACAAATGATCACCTATATTACAGGTCTGAAACCAGTCATAAGATTTCTTGTTCTACAGTTAAAAAGAAAAGTATCTTTTAACTAAACAGAATAGGCTTAAACCTCCCTTTGGAGGTGTGCTGTCTGTGAAATGCCTTCACTGTCACGCCGTCTGCTCCCTGCTACTCCAGGTCAATGTCCCCCGCATACAAGGTGATGAGCAGGATGGCTGTGAACCCAGTTAACATGCCAGCGTTCTGAATCATGAAGAAGGTGAAATCCGTTTTCCTTCCTGTCACCTTTTCTCTCAGCATGTCATTCATCTCTGGAAACTGGAAGATACATAATTAAATGACTGTTGCCATCTTGTGGTGAAACATGAACTGGTCGTTTACGGTTTCTGCAGAGATGACTGTTTATTTCTGAGTTTCAGTGTTTTAGTAAAGATCATAAATAAGAATAGTGAGCACTTTGGGGCATCCACAGAGTAAAGGTAGTGACAAGGTGTTCACCTGAGACACCTTGGGATTTACTTCACTCAAGGCCTCCTCCCCTTCACCTTCTTCCCATCCACTCTCACCATGGTAGAACCTCAAATTTTTGTGGGTTCAATTCTTCAGGTTCCACCTTCGGACACACCCTCAAGATCACTTCCTGTATAAGAGATCCCTTCCTAGTTTATTCTAGAGTTCTCTTTTCCTCTCTCACCATACATACTGCTTTTCCTTTTATGTCATAATACATATAAAATATTTGTAAATAATTAATCTTCTATATGACATTTGTAGTTTTTGTTTCTTTTTGTGATTTTTTTTAGAATTTCATTCCTGAGAATTGCCCCATTTTGCTTATTTCCACCCCGCCCAGTCCCCCTCCAACTCCTTTGATACCCCCAACTCCCTCACAATTTCTTGTCCCCTTCTTAGATTACTGTTTTTACATATACAAACAGACAATTATAAACTACTGAGTCCATTTAGTGGTGTTCCTGTGTACCTCTGTTTATAGCTGCCCACTTGGGATTAGATAACCTCTCAGAGAGCTAATTCCTGGAGAAAACTGACTCTTCCTGGCTCAGCATCTGTTGTTGCCTGTAGCTCTTCATCTTGAGGTGGGACCCTGTGACACTTCCCCCATCCACCGTGGTATGTCAACTGGTTCTGTCATTATGCAGCTCTTGATACACTACCACACTGTGGAGATTTCATGGGTGCAGCTTCCCTGTCATGTCTAGAATTCCTATCTAGCAACACGTGTCTTGTCCTTCTGGCTTTTACAATGCTGAGGTTGACCTTGAACTTCTTATCCTCCTGCCACATGCCACCACAGTAGGTTTATACAGCGCTGGGGATAAACGCAGGGTCTCATTCATGCTAGGTGTAAGACCTTTCGGTTTACCTAAGTTCTAGCCTTGCTCCTCAAAGTAGAAATCCCTATAGGGCAGAGACGGCACCTGCCCTGCTCACTTCCGAGTTCCCTTGTCTTATGGTTTTCAGGTTTGGTATAAAAAAGCTTGCCAGTAATAGATGGCTGAACAAATTTTTCGAAATAACTATAATTCATTTCCTCATTTCTTCAACTGTCCCCTTGTGCTTGCTCTATCCTCACAAAATCATAGTCTTTAATAAATTAGGTGTCACTCTAGCATTATGACACTCATTACGGTGAAACAATTCGAATTCTAAGTGTTTTAGTAAAAATCTGCCCTTTCTCAGCAGTAACATCCACTGAAAAGACTGCATAAGGAGACATATAAACACCAACATCCAGAAACACATTTCAGCATGATTGGCTGCATGTGTTGTGGTGCACTGCATCAAACCATGTTAGAGGTCTCTGGGATTCATAGTGAAGCCAGAGAACTGATGTGGAAGTTCTGACTGGGATAAAACGGCTGAAGGCTGGGAACCCATCTGAAACAAGTGAAAGGAGTGGCCATACAGGGTGCCGTTCCTGTTCTTTCTTTAAAGGGAACAGTGCCAGCAGTTTGTTTTTCTAGCGCAGGAGAAGTGGTCATCTAGAAAAAGAGGGGGAGGCACTGATTCTGTGACGAGATTGTAAGTGCAGTAGAGGCTTTAAGAGATGGAATCCTCACTGATTCAAGGGTATGCACAGAGCAGTAAACAGAACCAGAGAGTTTGGAGCTAATAAAAGAGAGGAAGAGCGTTCAATTATGATATCATATGTGATACCTTAATTCCCAAATGCAGATCAAATATTCTCTGATTTTCATACAAATTCATATACATTTTTACATCCTAAAAAACTGTCCATGACTCACTAAAAACACACAGGCATTTTCTGTCTTACACACGCATAACCACTCACATGCACATATGTACATACACATACATGCACATGCCTATGCACACACATATACTTGTGTGCATATATGTACATACACACAAATATACAAGCATATGCACTCATATGGTCATACGCCTACAGAGACAAAGACAGACGTAAATACATACTAACTCAAATAATGTCAAAATTTAATTTTTACCAAACTTAGTGTACTCATTTTGGCTTGATTTCAAAAGCTTTCACTGTTTATAACTTTGAAGTAATAAGATGCTGTTTGCTCGATCAAGTTATTCTTCCCAAAGTGACATCCTCACAAAAGAGAGGAATAAAAACCTTACAGGAACCTACTATAGTGGAGGTCAGGTTTCAGTCATCACAGGACAAAAGGGGGCCTAGGAAAATAACCCCATTCCAGAAAACAGTTGGCTTCTCCTCTCGCCATAAGATCACAGATAAAATAAACCAAACTTCCTTTTTGTTGTTGTTGGTGGTGGTGCTGCTGGGATTAAAGGCATGGGCCACCACACCTGGACAAATAGGCACACTGGCATTCCTGTCAGTGCAAGCTACTCAGCGGGTGTGATCTGATGGAATAGGAAAGCTTGTAACCGAGATGCTCCTTCTAAATTTTAAACTGAAACAAAATAAAATATTTGAATTTCTTACCATATCTGCCAGAGAAATGTAGAGAAACATGCCTCCAGCAAGTGCAAATATAATATTTGGAGCAAAATTATTGCCCACCAAAATGCCAAAAGCTAGCCCAACGTAGCAGGAACACGCAGAAAGAAAGTTGAATAACAAGGCTTGTCGAGTGCTCATCCCTGCATTGAGCAAGATCACAAAGTCCCCTAGAAGAAGAGAATATCAAGTGAATTGTACTTTCTTCTGTTTGGGAATGAGATCAAAGATAAGCAGCAAAGGCTCATTCATTTCAGTGTATCAGAAGGATTTGCTGAAAGCGAGATTAAACCAGGTCCTCCCCACAACCACAGTCCCTCACCTAACTCATGAGGAAACTCCTCACACAGGATCGCTATGGAAGTACTGAGTCCCTGAAGAAGAGACAGAGTGCAGGATGCCCCAATCGCCAGGCCATCAATGAAATTGTGGAGGGCATCGCAGAGTGTAATCATCCAGGCAATTGTCCCTATTTCTGACAACTTGGGCCCCTTCAAACAGGTACATGAACTTGGCTCTGTTTTTCCATCCTGTAAAATAGCAGAAGAAAATCAATCAACATGATAACCAACATTTCTTGAAAGTTCAAGAAATACAGACAAGAGGAAGATGGGTTATGTGATGGGGAAGAAAAACTGCTTCAAATGAAAGTCTCTTGCAGTGTTTGGAAAATTCTAACAATATGTAACAGAAAAGAAATCTTATGGCAGGGAGAGAGGAAATGAATCACTTGACATACCTTGAACAAGCCACTTACAGACATTTTAAATTAGTGTCCCATTAAATCAATCCTTTGATTTCCTTTGACTTGCATGAATAAATTCTTACAACTGCCTTCTTACAGTGTAGCAGCTATTAACCTACAAATTTGATTTATTCACATATTTTAAAGTTATTCAAGAACTAAATTGAAAGTCATCTCCATATTACAATTTAAATGTGGAATCAATAATTAAAGCACGTTGACATCAAGGAACATTTATTCCAATTTCTCCTCTGCCACTGTGTGACCATCAGCAAATCATCCTCTCAGTTTCTTCCACTGTGAAATGAAGTGGATGTGCAGTGATTCGTTTACTCTGAGGCAACTTACTTAGCTTCCACTCTATGCTGGTGAACATGGTCCACACCACCCCTAGATCTCAGTTATTCTCCTAAAAAATTTCATGAGGCGTGATGGGAAAAGACTTGCCTTTGCACTAACACTTATTTAAATTTTGAAAGAACAATAAAAACAGAAAATCTTATGATGGTCAAAGCATGGTGGAGCACGCCTTTAATCTGAGCACTCAGGAGGCAGGGGCAGGTGGATTTTTATAAGATGGAGGCCACCCTGGTCTACATAGTGAGTTCCAGACCAGCTGGGGCTACAGGGAGATCTTATGATGGATCCCATATGGGAATTTTTATGTTCTATAAAACTGACAAACTGTGGGGCTGGAGAGATGGCTCAGCAGTTAAGAGCACTGACTGCTCTTGCAGAGGACCCGGGTTCATTTCCCAGCACCCACATGGCACCTACGAACCATCCTTACCTCCAGTTCCAGGGGAATCCAAAGCCCTCTTCTGACCTCGAAGGCACTGCACAACACAGGTGCACTCACATACATGCAGGCAATACATTCATACACATAAATAAAATTTAAAAACTTTTTTTAAAATTTCACAAATTGCATAAAATCAAATGATAGTCATCAACTAAAGCACTTCCAGAAGTTGCAGAAGATAATACAAAATAAACTTGCCTATAAACAGGAGAGTGTTTACTGTTAACTGGAGGACATTTTATTCTAATTCTTCTTCCCACTTCTACCTAAGTGTGTACTTAAGAGATTTGTTGGGCAACTAACTGTACATTGTAAAACGCCACCCAGAATGCTATGGGAAAGATGTGAAAGTGGAAGGTAACCCATCTATATCTTCAAGAGGCATGTCTGCTTTAGAGAATAGGATGTAAATTTATAGCTGAACTTTTCAAAGCTGTATAATATGCACCAAATAGAATGGAGCTCTTTCAGAGCACTTGTTTAAGAGATCTAACACATATTCCAATATTGCTTCTTTGCTCAGAACCTCTGAGGACCAACACTTTCAGAACTGACTTTAGATCTTAGAATATATCTTTTCACCATCCCCCTGATGGAAATCTGCATTGGATGGATTATTTAGACATACAGTCAAAAGTCATTTGGAGCACCACAAATTATGAAATTACTATTGGAGGCATGGTTAGTAGTTGTCACTCTTGTCATCATCATGGTTGACGTAGTTCTAGTGAAACTAGTAACAGCCAAGGAAAATGGCATTTATTAGGCCTTGAGCCCTGCTTTAGGTGCTTCTGACACATAAGTCACTTCAAAGAGTTAAGAAAAACTATTATCATTATTTCAGAGTTGAAGAAATTAAATCACAGAAAGGATAGTAAACATGCATAGTGGTAAAAATGAAGTCAGTGAACGCCTTTGGTGACCAGTTAGTACTGCACTCCAATGAGGTTAGAGGGGTTCTAGTTTGTAACAGAACTGAAAAGCAATACCCACAAAGACCTCTTCCCCATCCCAGAACCTCTTCCAAGCACTGGATGTAAGCCGGGAGAAGACTTTAATCTCCTTTATTTTCAAAAGTGAATCCCATCTGAACAGAGAGAATTCTACCTTCTCTTTAAACACGGTCTTTTTATATTATAGCTGTATCCTAACTGCACAATATAATAAATGATTAAGACCTTGGTGGAAATGCCATAAAATGAGAAGCAACTGACTGCTGAAGGGGCACAAAGGTGGGCATGAAGAAAGCCACAGAGAACGTGACCCAGGCTTAGCAGTGCCTACCACCCAATTCCACTTAGTAGGACTGTTTTAAATTATAACTATTGTTTCACTTTCCAACTTTCTTACATATTCACATATTCATGGTTTCCTTGTTTACTTTTGGCGATTTAGGGAAAATCCACAACCCAATTCTTGACTACCTGATAGCGTATGTGTCATATACAAAGTCTGTTACAAACACCCTCAATTCTGCAAAGGAAATTAAATAATACTTCAGGCATGGTCCTTTTACCTCCAAGCAGACTGCATTGGCTTTATTATTAGCCTTTAGCTCTATGAGCTTAGGTCTCAAATTACATGGTTAAGAAAGTTAAGAGTTATACATTTTTAAGAGCTTTGTGACAAAGTGAAGTAAGCAGACAGGCAGACATTTGCTCTTTTATAATTCAGAGGGGCAAATCACTAGGGAGGGGACACCAAAGCTTCACTAAATAAGTTAGTGGTTTTCCTTTCTTCCCGTCTCTTTTTCAGTTATTGTTTGCTGGTACTGTTGCTAAGTTTGCTTACTTCCTTGCTTGACTTTACTCTTAATGATGATATTTCTATCCTCGGCCACAAGAAGGCTGAAGCCTAGAAAAAAAAGTCTATGAGTGAGTTCTGGGGTGGTTCTGACCAGAATGACTCTATGAACTTCAGCAACACTCTTAACGCCTCTCCTTTTACTAACTAATGCAAATAAAACTGAAGTGTAGAGTGATCAGTGTGGGGAGGAAGAGTACCACACACCCAAGTCATAAAAGCAGACAGGAGATTAGGCAGACGCCTAAGAAGAGGAGACAGAAAGTAAGAGAAAAGTGTTCTAAAACTTAAAAATCGACCGAGCAAGTGGATCACTGAGGAACACGGTCAGCAGGATGGGGGATGTTAGGAAAGAGGGAGGGGAGAGGCGGGTAAGGGGAGGAGGAAGAATGGGACAGAAGAAGAACCTGGGTGTACAGGTGAAGACAGGGAAGGTGGGGAAGAGGGAGGACAGGAGCACGAAGAACGCAGGTAAGAAGAAGAACAAGAGGAAGAGAAAGAGGAAGAAGGGGAAGGGGGGTAAAAGGGAAACGGAGAACACGGGGAAGAGTAAGAAAAGACCCATGAAGGAGCGAGGAGGCGAGCAGAAAGGAATCTCTTGGCTCTGCTTCAGTGGAATACCGTTCACACAAATGTGGTTCACCCCTGCCATGAATCACTCAGACGAGTAGCATAGATGAGAAATACTTCATGTAAAAATGTCCAAAACATTAATAATGTTAATATAAAAACAATAACAACAAAACAGCATGCCTAGTGGCTGCTGTTTTTGTAAAAATAATATAAATTCATGATGGTCTAAGGGAAAATATATTTGGAAAATATGTGCGAAAATTTTTATCATGGCTCTTCCTGAGAAAGAATAACGTAGATGACATTTGGAGGGCTCTCTTATATTTTATGGGATTTCTGGGTATTTTTACACTCATTATATGTTTTAATATTCAGATAAATAAAACAGTAGGGCCATGGTTGGGTGTAGATTTGGGTGAGAAATAACAAAAAGGAAAAGTAGATCTGTGAGGACTTGAAAGTTGTCACTAACAAGATGAAGTGGTGAGAGGCTCCTGGCCAGGTTTGTTTTGCGTGAGGAGAGGCTGCCCTGTCCCTCCAGAGAATCCTTTCTGCTTCATCACTCCACACAGCAGCACAGGCAACCAGACCTCACTGTGTGCAGAGAGAGGCAACATGAGCCAGGACTCACAGCATGCTTTTATGGCATACCTGTGCTCTGTGCTTTATTGGTAAAGGGCAAAAGCAAACAACTATCTCAGAGAAAGGCTAAATTCTGTTTTCCCATGCTTCAAAATAATTTGCAGAGGGCGCTCTGGTAGAAAGCAGCAGCCTACTGAAAAGCAAAGTAAAAGAAAACCAGAAATCAAGAAATAAAGCTGTATGAAAACAGACACACAAACAACCCAGACCCTTAGATGAGGAGCTGCAGGCTTTCTGTGGCTGCTGAGAGGGCAACTGTCAGCCCCAAACACATGTACATGAGCAAGATCACAGGGGTCAGTAGGCTTTGTGTGTGTGTGTGTGTGTGTGTGTGTGTGTGTGTGTGGAGTAATTATAGAAAAATGTCATAAATTTAAGAGTGAATAAAGGGGGGCACAGGAGGAGCTGGCAGGGGACAGGGAGGAGTGAAAATGACGTAAATACAGTACAGGTGTGAAATTCTCAAAAATATAAATAGAAAAAAAACATTAAAAATGTACCCTTAAAATAGGAATTAATGCGCCATAAATGAAAATAATAAAAATCAGTTTTAAATGACTTCAGCTTTAAAGAGACATGTGATTTAAGTAACACAGTGTAAGATTACAGCCAGTTCACTGTAGAGGCCATAAGCCTTGCCCTCGAGGAACCTGAGCTTGAGTCAGTTCTCTGCCCTTGGGAAAGAACTTTCATTTCTGAGCTGCAGATTCCTTGCCTGTAGGATGGAAAAATATTACCTCTAACTTCACAGGATTATTGTGATAATTAAATGAGATACTGTTTATAAACCTGGAAGTGCTCCACAAAAAAAAGCCTTTGTTACATCACACAAAACGCAGGTAAGACTGCCAGTACAAGGAAGCAAAACTAAGTTTTGAAGACAAAAGATTTATTATGCATGATTCCCTGAAGATTCAGGAGCCTACGTGCCAAGTTTACCAGAGAAAAAAGGAAAAAAAAAAAAA